GGGAGCTTACTGACCCAGTAGTCCTTTACCAACCATCCCACTGGCCAGTGGAGTGATGCTGTTAAACACACTGCTAAGCAACACATCCATGGTTATTTAAAATAAGGCCAATTAACTTCAAGCAATGGCAAAATATTGTCAACTACCTACCATAATCTGCATCAAACGTTACCAGCTGGTGTAGCGTAAACACTAGTGACATCACTTAAGCGTCGGTTTTTTTTACTGGAACTAATGTCGGTGTCAAGTAAAATTTTACCATTTACTTGAAATGGATTTATCGATTTATTTGTTTATTTATTTATGTTTATTTATTTATTTATAATATACTGCAATATATTAGAAATGTAGGAATAAAATACACAGCAGGTATTTTCTTTAATTTATAAAGTTGCTTCGCGAGACGATCGGTAGGACTGGCTGTTTGTTTACTTCGGAAGCAGTTGCAAATGGCGGGCGGTGCGTGATGATACCTTCATTTATTATGTTGTTATTTTATGGTATTTACAGTATATTAACCAATAATACATTTTCATTATTTTAAAATACCGGTAATCATATTTTTAATCCAGCTTCCCAAACGTAAGTTTCAGTAGAAAATAATTAGTGGTAGGACCGTGGGATTAAGGCGAGTGTTTTAAGATGTTCTCCATCACCACTGGTGACACACTAAACCACAGGATGTAGAGGTTCGGATTTTATACCCAGCGCTTAAGACGACCCCTAATTTTGGGCTGATTTTTTTAAGGTTCAAATTCCGTCTTATACGCCGACATATACGGTATATCATAATGCAGCCCATGACTGAGGAAAGGTTGCCCATGTCTGCTGTACTTATAGTAAAACCTTAAGACAATAGTAGAATGTCTATTTAAAGCGAATGAATTTAAGATTATTGATTTAAAGCGACACCCACAATTAAGGACAATGTTTTAATTTAAAGCGAATCTTTCCTATTTTGTGTGAGTCAATCTGGCGCATCATATTTAAAATTTTGCTCCTAATGTTTCTCTGGGCACGCTACACTGTCCTAAGGGCAAAGCTGTACTGTACATGTACTCAAAATAATGTACTAAATGATTACTAAAATTGTTGTCCAGTGCAAACTGTAGCATGTTTATATTCAAGTTAATCACTATCTTATAAGCATTCCAGCAAAGTTAATTATATTCTCCCCGGTCACTTCTGTGACTTTTATAAGCAACGAAAAACATAAACTCAAGCTAAAGGACATAAATAAACAAATAAATACAGTGACCCCTCCGTTAACGAACTCAATCCGTTCCAGAATGTCGTTCGTTAACCGAAAAGTTCGTTAACCGAAACCATTGTTTCAATGGGTTTTTGGGTAATTGGTTCCAGCTCACCGAAAATTTCCTAAATTCAACAAAAATGGTAGAAAAGTTCACTTACTTTGAGGTGTGTATGTAGAAGGCTCCTGGATGATGATGATGATGGGATTTAGAATGGAGGTGGAGGAGAAGGAAGAAGAGAAGGCATTGGGGTGGAAGAGAAGTCACCTCATGGCGCCATTTCACCCATAAAATTTTAGCTCTCTTGGTGTAATTCAAGATTATTTTCTTTAAATCAACACTGCACTGCATTATATATTGTCAATATGTAAAATATATTTCAAAATGACAATAATTTGCTTGGAAACACAGAAAAAAAGCGTTTAGTTGAAGAGTCTCAAGCAAGATGTTACCTCCAGTGAAAACAGAGAAAGACTAACTCCTGTTTGCTGTGTTAAGAGGCTGATGCCGCATTAAACTAGTCACTTTACCTTCAATTATGTTCAATAATTGTTAAAATGACTAAAAATTGAATATTAAACTTTTAAAATTATTGAATAGTATAAACTTCTTGATATTTACTAAAATAGTAAGGAATTTAAGCCCTAGAACCGATTAATGTATTGGCGGACTGATACTAAAGCTGGTTGCCCGGTCAGTGCAAGCGAAAACATGTTGAGGTCGGTTCGTAAGAACTTCGTTAACCGAATTTTTTTCGTTAACCGAATTGAAGATCCTTATGGAAGGCAGTTCGTTAATCGAAATTACGTTAACCGAGGTGTTCGTTAAACGAGGGGTCACTGTACTTCACTAGACCTTAGGCGCCAACTGTCAAACATGTCACTGTCACCCCTTCCTCCTTCCCTCCCTACCCTCCTTCCCTCCCTACCCTTCCCCCCTCCCTCCCCCCATCTTCCCAGCCAGGGTTTGGTGTTTTAGGCTTAAAGTTTTTATCTTATATAATGTCATAGACAAAAGTTAGGAGAACATAATTTGTATTGCTGGAATCCTTGCAAGACAGCAAATAATTTGAAAATAAATGTACCAATATATACTTTGCATGAAAAATTTTGTTTTGCTCTTTGTAATAAAATTCTTAAATTAAAACAAAAATTTGTATGTCTAATGCGAGCTATAGCATGTTTATATTCAAATTAATCACTATCTTATAAGAATTCCAGCAATGTTAATTATATTCTCCCATGTCAGTTCAGTGACATTTTAAAAGAGAAAAACTTAAAGTCACCCTTAAGGACAGATAAATAAATAAGCACTAGACCTTGGCATCAACTGTCAAACATATCACCTCACACCCCCCCCCACCATCTTCCCAGCCAGTAAACAGACCATTTTGCATCCTTTAATTTTAGCTGTTGATTTATGACTTGTTTGTTTTAACATAATACTACAAAAAACAATGTTTTGTTTATTCTAGGAGATGGGCTGAGGGTCATCTGGGTAGACTCTCAGTCTTTTTAGTATTTTGTGTTTCTCTCAAGTACCAAACTAAATTATTCCATTGAAACAACACTTAGATTTAGTGAGAATTCGGTTTAAAGCGACCTTTCTTAGAAGGTATCTTGCGTTCTATCCACGTTCTACTGCACTGTACTATACTTTTGCTATACAGTACTGCATATGATGGAATTACAGTACAAGCTTAAAGCCACTGACAGTCACTACATAATGTTTGTCATGCTATATATAGTCTGACAATTAAGTTCATGAACTCATGCTATAGGTGCCAGTACGTACCTTACTGAGGATCGGCACTGTGGTCCCCTTCAAATTATTCCCCTTGCAATACTATACATGAACGCCAGCGTTTCTTCCACCCATGGAAACATTGTTGGAACTCACTTTCTGGAAGAGCATTTGTAGCTGCTGTCGTGCTACTCTGAATGTCATCCACGTCTTGAAAATGTGTCCCCATGATGTGTTTCTTCAGAGAAGGAAGTAGAAAAAAGTCACACGGGGGCAAGTCAGGTGAACAATGGGGTGTGTTTCAGTAAGGTAATTTGTTTCTCGGCCAAAAACTCCCGCACAATCAATGCCATGTGTGCTGGGGCATTGTCATGATGCAAGATCCAATTGTTTCTAGTGAAAAGTTTTGGATATTTTCATTGAGATAGGAAAACTGGTTCACACTCTGACCTGGGGGAACAAATTCTTTGTGAACTACACCCTTACAATTGTAAAAAGTGAAGAGCATTGTCTTCACTTTCGACTTTAACATGCAACACTTTTTGGGGCGCGGTGAGTTTGCAGTTTTCAACTGAGCGCTCTGGCGTTTCATTTCAGGGTTGTATTGATAGACTCATGACTCATCACCAGTAATGACTCAGTGAAGCAGGTCATCTCCAGCTTCTTCTATTTCCAAAAGGTCTGAGCAAATTTCAACTCTTCTTTACTTTTGTTCTTCACGGAAAATTTTCGGAATAATTTTCGCACACACTTTTCTCATCTTCAAACCTTCAGTCAAAGCCTTTCTAACTGTTTGCCTGTTAATGTGCACCTCATCTACAATGCTTCTCACCGTCAATCACCTTTTAGTTCACACAACTTTCCTAATTTTTTTCACTGTTTTCCTCAGTCCTGCTCGTTGTTGGTCGTCCTTCTCTGTCATCATCGGTCACGTCTTCTCTTCCCTCAGAAAATCGCTTTATCTACCTGAAAACTGATGTTTTCTCTAGTGCATTATCTCTATACACTTTGGTTAACATGTCCCAAATTTCAGGCCCAGTTTTCCCCAGTTTCACGAGAAACTTGATTTTTGGTCTTTGTTCTAAACCAATTGTCATAATCGCGACAAAACCAGAAAACACTCAAATACATTAGCTGCCACTGCACACGTCCAACTTGCTTGAGATCAACGGCACAACTGGGGTAGTATGGGAAGGGATCAAGGTCACACACACACCACTCACTCATTAGAGTGCTGCTGCCTGTTGAACCACGCGGCAAGTTCACGAACTTAATTGTAAGACCTCTTACATAATGGTGTGAATAACTTATTGAGCCACTGACAGTAGCTACATATTGTTTGTCATGCTATACATAATGGTGTGAATAACTTATTGAACCACTGACAGTAGCTACATATTGTTTGTCATGCTATACATAATGGTGTGAATAACTTATTGAACCACTGACAGTAGCAACATATTGTTTGTCATGCTATACATAATGGTGTGAATAACTTATTGAACCACTGACAGTAGCTACATATTGTTTGTCATGCTATACATAATGGTGTGAATAACTTATTGAACCACTGACAGTAGCTACATATTGTTTGTCATGCTATACATAATGGTGTGAATAACTTATTGAACCACTGACAGTAGCTACATATTGTTTGTCATGCTATACATAATGGTGTGAATAACTTATTAAGCCACTGACAGTAGCTACATATTGTTTGTCATGCTATACATAATGGTGTGAATAACTTATTGAACCACTGACAGTAGCTACATATTGTTTGTCATGCTATACATAATGGTGTGAATAACTTATTGAGCCACTGACAGTAGCTACATATTGTTTGTCATGCTATACATAATGGTGTGAATAACTTATTGAACCACTGACAGTAGCTACATATTGTTTGTCATGCTATACATAATGGTGTGAATAACTTATTGAGCCACTGACAGTAGCTACATATTGTTTGTCATGCTATACATAATGGTGTGAATAACTAACCTGTGGCAGCAACTAGTTCCTCTCCCTCAACTAAGGAAGGAAGTGGGGATAAGAGAAACCAGATGTACACAACTCTCTGTAACACACATCTGCTCATAGCATATTAATACATGAGCCATAAGGGAAGGTTGTAGTCATTACTGTATATAAAGACACAAACCCTGGAGACAACATGACCCATGGCTGCCCTGGAGACAACATGAACCATGGCTGACCTGGAGACAACATGACCCACGGCTGCCCTGGAGACAACATGAACCATGGCTGACCTGGAGACAACATGACCCATGGCTGCCCTGGAGACAACATGAACCATGGCTGACCTGGAGACAACATAAACCATGGCTGACCTGGAGACAACATGACCCATGGCTGACCTGGAGACAACATGACCCATGGCTGCCCTGGAGACAACACCATGGCTGACCTGAGACAACATGACCATGGCTGCCCTGGAGACAACATGAACCATGGCTGACCTGGAGACAAATATGACCCATGGTCACCTGAGACAACATGACCCATGGCTGCCCTGGAGACAGCATGACCCATGGCTGGCCTGGAGACAACATGAACCATGTGGCTGCCCTGGAGACAACATGAACCATGGCTGCCCTGGAGACAACATGAACCATAGCTGACCTGGAGACAACATGAACCATAGCTGATCTTGGAGACAACATGAACTTGGCTGCCCTGGAAACAATGAGACCCATGGCTGCCCTGGAGACAACATACATGAACCATGGCTGCCCTGAGACAACATGACCCATGGCTGCCCTGGAGACAACATGACCCATGCTGTTCTGAGACAATGAGGACCCATGGCTGCCTGGAGACAACATACATGACCCATGGCTGCCCAGGAGACAACATGACCCATGGCTGCCTTGGAGACAACATGACCCATGGCTGCCCTGAGACAATGACCCATGGCTGCCCTGGACACAACATACATGAACCATGAGACAACATGACCCATGGCTGGAGACAACATGACCCATGGCTGCCCTGAGACACATGACCCATGGCTGCCCTGGAGACAACATGACCCATGGCTGCCCTGGAGACAACATGACCCATGGCTCCTGGAGACGATGACCCATGACATGACCCATGCCCTGCTGCCCTGGAGACAACATACATGAACCATGGCTGCCCAGAGACAACATGACCCATGGCTGCCCTGGAGACATGACCCATGGCTGCCCAGGAGACAACATGACCCATGGCTGCCCAGGAGACATGACCCATGGCTGCCCTGGAGACAACATGACCCATGGCTGCCCTGGAGACATGACCCATGGCTGCCCTGGAGACATGACCCATGGCTGCCCAGGAGACAACATGACCCATGGCTGCCCAGGAGACATGACCCATGGCTGCCCTGGAGACAACATGACCCATGGCTGCCCTGGAGACATAAACCATGGTAGAGGAGTTACTGTGTACCGTAAGTGACCAGGTGGGGTCTGGGTAATTGCTACTTGTGTCAGCATGAGATCTGTTTTATTTTTTTATTGATATTAATAGTCTCATGCGATTAGCTTCTTATGGTGTATGATACTTCATACATATTATAACATCTTCATATCTCCAATAATAGAAAACTATAATATAGCTCACCAAGTTATCATACAAAACAAACATAAGGGAATTCTTTACACACAGGCTGTGGACTCATGAACAGTACTGGGCTCCAAAATAGTCACTGAAAAAATTGTCAAGAACAATTGAGGGATCCTACATAGTCCACTGGTCTCTCTTCCTCAGCATGGACACCTCTAGTGGGTGGCCATTAGGTATATTTTGTAAATTGACCTTATAATATGGCTGGTGGTGCCTCACTTCCCCCTCCCTCCTCCCTGTGACACTGTAAGCTGATGGAAAATTTCAATAAGGTAAAAACTATTTATTATCATGAAAAATAAAATAAAACAAGGACTAGTCTTAAGTTACCCTTTCTTGCCCAGCCTTAAGTTACCCTTTCTTGTCCAGCAGTAAGTTACCCTTTCTTGCCCAGCAGTAAGTTACCATTTCTTGCCCCAAGTTTAATGATACTTTACATCAAGTAGCAGCAACAATAACTCTCTGTTGCTGCTACTTTGCTTCTCAAGCTACAAGGGGTCCAAGATGTTGTATAGGACATAATTATACAGTACAGTATGAGCCACACCTGATGCCCTTTATGTATAGGACATAATTATACAGTACAGTATGAGCCACACCTGATGCCCTTTATGTATAGGACATAATTATACAGTACAGTATGAGCCACACCTGATGCCCTTTATGTATAGGACATAATTATACAGTACAGTATGAGCCACACATGATGCCCTTTATGTATAGGACATAATTATACAGTACAGTATGAGCCACACCTGATGCCCTTTATGTATAGGACATAATTATACAGTACGGTATGAGCCACACCTGATGCCCTTTGTGTATTTAATCAACAAAACTGTTAAACAAATGGTGTCAACAATACCGTACTATGTAAAGAGGCCTGAGGGATGTCATCACAGTAATTGATACCTTTATATCTTTTCGTATTATGCAATGGGTTAATAGAAAACTGGCATATCAAGTAATAATGAAGGAAGGCAACAAAACTTTCTTGATGTGTTCATTACTCCTGCCTTTAACACAATGTTGTGACATCACAGCCTGGCATGACAGTAGGATCCTATACTGTAATATGTTCCATTGTTGTGTGGAACCTTCCCCTCTTGAAATACAGTACTAAAACAGGAAACAAAAAGGAATGTTGCCTGACCTGGAGTCTTGCGTAGCCCCTCCACGAGTGAGTCAAAAGTCATGGCAACAGCTTCTGAAGTGACAACTGGGCCTCTCATTGGAGGCTGGGGGTGAGCTGCCACCCATGCCTGGTATACTCGGTCCCACAGCTCAACAACCTGTCACCAACAATAACATGTTAATACATCATGACTTAGAATACAGGAGAGAGAGAGAGAGAGAACTAAAGGATGACCCACCTGTAAGGATGACCCACCAGAAGGGATGACCCACCTGTAAGGATGACCCACCTGTAAGGACGACTCATCTGTAAGGACGATCCACCTGTAAGAATGACCCACCTGTAAGGATGCTCTGCCTGTAAGGATGCCCTGTCTGTAAAGATGACCCACCTGTAAAGATGACCCACCTGTAAGGATGCCCTGCCTGTAAGGATGCCCTGCCTGTAAGGACGACCCACCTATAAGAATGACCCACCTGTAAGGATGCTCTGCCTGTAAGGATGCCCTGTCTGTAAAGATGACCCACCTGTAAGGATGACCCTGCCTGTAAGGATGCCCTGCCTGTAAGGATGCCCTGCCTGTAAGGATGACCCACCTGTAAGGATGACCATGCCTGTAAGGATGCCCTGCCTGTAAGGATGACACACCTATAAGGATGCCCTGCCTGTAAGGATGCCCTGCCTGTAAGGATGCCCTGCCTGTAAAGATGCCCTGTTTGGAAGGATGCCCTGCTTGCCCTGTACAGTACTGTACTGCACTGTACTACACTGTCATCTACTGCATTGTGCTGCACTGTATGTACTGTACTGTACTATATTTTACTGTACTGTACTGTACTGTATGGTACAGTACTGTACTGTACTGTACTGTATTGTTCAGTACCGTACTGCACTGTACTGTACTGTGTTAGACCATGCCACTAGTAGGCAACTACCAAACAGGGAGGTACTACCACTGCCTGGGAAGATATTGGAAGCATAATGTATTGTCTAATGGTAGACCCTGCTGCCATATGGCATCACAAAATTGTGACCAAGTCCCAGGTTGCTGATCTAACTTTCTGCCTCATTTACACACAATTGCAGGGTCTCAATTGTTTCTCTTACTATTGACAACACAACATACATACTGCATATTGTACTGTACTGTACAACAGTATACTGTACTTTACCTGTTTCTCCAGATTATTGGCTTTGTCGTCATCTGTCTCTCCCAGCATTCCTCGCACCTGCAAGAGGTTATACCAGCATTAGGTGAGATGAAGTGACTTGAGTTGATGGGAATAATACATAATGGATCACCACAAATATATAAAATTGACACCTAACCTAACCTCAACTAATCCAACCCAGCCCAGCCTAACATAACCTAACCCAACCTAACCTCAACTAATCCAACCCAGCCTAGTCTAGCCTAACCTAACCCAACCTAACCTCAACTAATCCAACCCAGCCTAGCCTAAACTAACCTTAAAAAACGACCTAACCTAACCCAACCTCGCCTAGCCTAACCTAACCCAGCCTAGCCTAAAAAAAAATGCCGACCAAACCTAACTTAGCCTAACCTAACATAAAACCTAGCCTAGCCTAGCCTAGCCTAGCTTAGCTTAGCTTAGCCTAGCCTAGCCTAGCCTAGCCTAACCCAAACTAAACTAAAAAAGCTAAGCTAAGCTAACCTAACCTAACCCAATCTAGCCAAGCCTAACCTAAAAATAGACAGCCTAGCCTAGGCAAGCATAACTGAGCCTAACCTAACCTTACCCAACCCAACCCAACCCAACCCAACCCAACCCAACCCAGCCCAGCCCAGCCCAGCCCAACCCAACTCAGCTCAGCTCAGCTCAGCCCAGCCCAGCCCAGCCCAGCCCAGCCCAGCCCAACCCAACTCAGCCCTCCTCCCCTAACCCAACCCCAACCCAACCCAACCCAACCCAACCCAACCCAACCCAACCTAACCTAACCTAACCTAACCTAACCCAACCCAACCCAATCTAACCTAACCCAACCCAACCCAACCTAGCCTAGCCTAGCCTAGCCTAGCCTAACCATACCAAAAAAAGCCAACCTAATCTAACACAACCTACTGTAGCCTAAAAAAAGCCAACCTAACCTTGAAAAAAAAGCTGACCTGACCTGACCTGACCTAACCTAACCAAGCCTAGCCTAAGAAAGACTGGCCAAGCCTAGCCTAAAAAAGCCAACCCAACCTAGCCTAGCCTTGCCTAACCTAGACTAGCCTAAAAAAGCCAACCCAACCTTGCCTAGCCTTTCCCAAGTCTTGGGAAAGCAGCAGCTCAGCCCATATGGCAGGAAATGAGTAGGGCAGCAAAATATAACAACCTGTGCATTATGGGGGATTTCAACTTCAGAAATATTGACTGGGACAATATTGTAGGTGACTATGAATCTGACAACTTCCTAGATGCAGTACAGGACAATATTTTTAAACAAGTAATTACAGAACCTACTGGAGGTAACAATATATTAGACCTGGTATTAAAAAATAAAGAAAATATTATCAGAAATATCACAATAGGGAACAGTGATCACAGAGAAATCAGGTTCACCCAAAATCGGAAACGAAAAACAATGACAATATGGTCAGAGTCCTAAACTTTCAATTGGCAGATTATCAGGGGTTAAGAAGGCACCTCGGTGAGGTCACCTGGGAACAGTCAGGCCAGTCCCAGGTAGGAACCGGTGAGGTCACAGGTGACACAACAATTGATCATGACTATTCACTCGTATACTGTACTACGTAGAGCACAAGAACAAAATATACCATACAGAAAAATTAGGTCAAATAAGAATGAGCCAAGGTGGATGACCAGAAAACTTAAACATTACATAGGAATAAAGAAAGGAATTGATAAGAAATGAAAGGGAGGGGAGGAGTAGCTCAGAAATAGGTATAACGAACTATCTAGGAATGTTGAGAAAAAATGTAAGGAAGGCAAAGAGGGACTACGAAATCAGGATAGCAAGAGAATCCAAGGCGAATCCCAAGGGATTTTTCCAGGTATATAGGACAAAGGTCAAGGACAAAGTTGGGCTTTTAAAGTCAGGGAGAGGGGAAGTGATCGATGACAGTGAGGAAATAAGCAAAGCATTAAACAGCTACATTTTATCAGTTTTCACAGAATAAATTCACGAGAAAATTCCAGAGGTGGAACTGATATTTAGGGGAAAGATAAATTACAGAATGTCACTATCAGAAAAGAGGATGTTCTTAAGAAGGTAAATAAATTAAAGAAGACAAAATCCCCAGGGCCGGATGAAATTTTCCCTCGAGTTTTGAAAGAGTGTAAGGAACAGATTAGTGGACCCCTCGTATATTTATTTACAAAATCATTAGACACAAGAGTTGTGCCAGACTTGTGGAAACAGGCAAATGTAGTACCCATATTCAAAAAGAGAGACAGAGCATCAGCGTCAAATTACCAGCCGATTAATTTGACGTCAGTAGTGGCGAAATTTCTTGAATCAATTACAAGTATAGCAAATAGCATCCGATCGCATTTACAGAAAAGCAAATTAATCTACGACTCTCAACATGGGTTTACAAAGGGAAAATCTTGTCTAACAAATCTGCTGACATTTTTTAGGAAAGTCTTCGAAGTAGTAGATAATGATGAAAATTACGATGTTATTTACTTAGATTTTAGCAAAGTGTTTGACAGAGTACCGCATCAGAGGCTTCTCAGAAAAGTTAAAGCTCATGGTATCGGGGGGAAAGTTTTAAATTGGATAAAATCATGGCTCACTGATAGAACACAGAGGGTTAGGTAGATGGTGTTAAATCTGAGTGGGGCTGTGTAACCAGTGGGGGTTCCCCAGGGGTCAGTACTGGGCCCACTCGTTTATAATCTACATAAACGATCTAGATACTGGGATCATCAGTGACATAAGCAAGTTTGCGGATGACACCAAAATAGGGCGGCAGATGAATTCAGGGCAGGATGCAAACACACTACAGGAGGATTTAAATAAACTACAAAAGTGGTCAGAAAAATGACAAATGAAATTCAACACCAGCAAGTGCAGCATACTGAATATTGGAAGAACAAATACTGTCAAAGTATACAGCCTTAACAATATAAAGCTAGAGAAGTCGACTTGTGAAAGAGAGTTAGGGGTACTTGTAAGCCCGGACCTACGGCCTAGAAAACAGTGCGTTAATGTTAGAAATAAGGCAAACAGAGTATTAGGTTTTATACCTAGAAGTGTAAGTAATAAGAGTGCAGAGGTCTTATTGCAACTATATCTTGTAATAGTCAGGCCGCACCTCGATAATGCGGTTCAGTTCTGGTGCCCTTAATATAGAATGGACAAGTGATCATGGGCCCTTCGTGCCCGGTTCGCCATCTGGCTGACAGTGTATAGCGAGCGTAAATAAAATGGTTAATTAATGCCTTCCTAAAGAAACCATCGACATGGGACCAGGCTTGTTCCACTCCACGATTTTTTTGCGATTTTCCACCAAGTTTGATGAAAAACCGATTGTGCTGTTTCGATTGCCCAGAACAGACACAAGGCTATTCCTATAGTATATTAGATATCAATTCACTGGAGTCGGTGCAGCGAAGAATGACGAAAATGATTCCAGGACTTAGAAACCTTCCATATCAAGATAGGTTAAAGAAACTAAACTTGCATTCCCTAGAAAGACGAAGAGTGCGGGGAGATATGATAGAAGTATTTAAGTGGTTGAAAGGAATGAATAAAGGCGATATAGATAAAGTTCTTATAATATCCGAGCAGGATAGGACTCGTAGCAATGGATTTAAGTTGGATAAGTTTAGGTTTAGGAGGAAGATAGGAAGGAACTGGTTCACAAATAGGGTGGTAGACGAGTGGAACAAGCTTAGCAACTTTGTAGTAAGTGCTGGAATGCTGGAAATTTTTAAAAGGAGGCTAGATAGATTCATGGATGATAGAGAGTGGTAGTAACTCTCGACAGGAGCTGCCATGCACAGGCCAACCGGCCTATTGTAGACTCCTTATTTTCTTATGCTCTAACCTAACCGAGCCTAACCTAATCCTACCCAGCCTAGCCTAACCTAACCCCAACCTGTATTAGCCTCTGTCACTTTAATATTATATAAATATTGGCTAAAACATATACAGGTATTCATTATATACATTCTATCACCCAGACTATTGAGCATACAGCTACATGAACATTTGTTCTGTCACACCTCCGAGGGTGGAGAGCCCATAAGACTACAGACTCAACCCTCAGTGTGTGGGTAGGCTGCTTAGATAATGTCTGTGTTGAAGGATGGGTTGTTCTCCAACCACCAGGCACCAGACTCAAGAGAGTACAGCCCAGTTCCCCCAGTACACAGCCCGACATGATGCCCTAAAGTTGTCGTGAGACCAGCTCTCCAGGCTGTACCTCTCTCTAATTATATCAGCTAATTACAAGGTAATAGCTAATGCTCATTACTCTGTCAATACCAAATAATTGTACAAAGATGACTACCCAATATAACTATAAACTCACCACGTGTGTTTACATTAAACCAAGGAACAACGAGTGAAGAGAACATTACCTGTGTGTCTTGTTTAACTTACAAGCTAAGATAATTACAAGTACAGCCCAGGACAGCTATGACGGTTTCAACTATATCTAAGGTGACACGCTGTGAGATTACCTGATATCTCACTCAGCAGCATCAAAGGTACCAGCGACTAACCTACACTCATTCAGGCAAATGTTAGCAAGTGAGATAGTTTGATATCCTATCACAGCTAAAACAAACCTAACCTAACCTAGCCTAGCCCAGCTTAGCCTAAAAAAAAAAGCCAACTCAACCTAGCCTAGCCTAACATAACCCAACCCAATCTAGCCTAGCCTAGCCTAGCCTAGCCTGACCTGGAGGTGACTGTTGGAGCAATAGTTGCAACTCTTCCTCTCTGCCTTAACACAACACATGTGTATTTATCCAACTATGATCACAACACATGTTCATCTACATATATACACTGTGCCCTCGTTAATTTGGTTCGCTATAATTCACATTTCGACTTGATTTATGTTTTTCAAAAATTAATTAAACAATTTGAATTCAGAATGACTGAAATAACTGAGCAGTTTTGAAAAGTCGATTATTATTATAGGTTTATATTATGAAATTGATTAAAATGAATGATTATAGGAATAGAATATTAATTAAGTGACATCCCTGTTAGCAGAACAATTGGTGCAGACCACTTCCGGGGATGA